GAAGTTAGGATTTGAGGGTAAGTGGAGCATTTGTCAGCTCAAACAAGGTTACGTTTTCATGATGCTATCATAATAATAGTAATAATAGAAAACCCAGAAAAGACTGCCTATTATTTTCAAAAGGTTTTGATTTTTGAAGGAGCTGTATATCTGATGGAATTCAGTAATGTTGAAAGTTGTTTTAACAAGCTTCAGGCATCCTTTCGGTGGGTGCTAATTCCACTGCTCCGTCTGGTGTGTGCTCAACTGATTGGAAATGATGTAACTGACATAGCAAGCTGCATTTAGAAAGATCCCAGTTTGCATGTTCAGATGTATCTTGTCCCTAGTTTAGATGATTGCTGGGGTAGCAACTGCATTACATATATTTTTTTTTTATGTGTATATATATGCATACATATATATGTATGTGTACATACGCATATATGTAAAATATATAAATAAAACCAACCTGATAAATCTCACCATTTTTTTCCGAATATAGCTTTAAAATATTAATTCTGTGAGCCACACTCACTTTTTATAACATGCGAAAAAGTGAATACTATTACAAAATGGTTTTCCCCTGCTTTTTGGAAGTTCATTTTTTTCTGCTCAGTAAGAATTTTATCATAATTTCATGCCCCCACACTTCACGGTTTGTTACTTGGTCTATTACTCTCACATTTAACTTGATAAGGTCCTGCTTCCTATGATATTCATTTTTGCGTTTTGATTCTTCACAGCTGCTGCTTTGAAGTCTTAGATAACATTCTGAGCATTGCACATTGCTTCTGGTTTTAAACTTTTCATTCAGTTCAACTGCAGTACATAGCTCTGTTTCTCCTAAATAACTTTTCAGTAAATTGTTACATTCTATTATTCTAAAATGAATGTTTTGCTTTTAATCAGGGCAAAACTGTGGACTCTTTTCTTAAAAGAAGCTAGTAACTTTGGTCACAAGGTTTGGTAATTTATCCGCATCTTCTTCAATCCTTTCTTGAAAGGATTTAAGTCTCTTACTCCGTTCAGGAGTCTGAATCATTGGGTATTTCATACATGCACGAAAGGAAGAACTGATGGTCATACTTGTTTTCATGCCCTCTCTTTCAGCACCATGTTCTTTTCAACCCAATCCTGTCCAGGCCCAGGAAATGCAGCTGCCAATAACTTCCTTTGGATAACGTGGAAGTGTGCTGGAATAGCGAGTACGTGTGTCACTGAATTGTGTCACTGAATGGCTATTAGCTGGAAACAAGAAGATACAACTCCTCAGGTTTTGCCCTCCCTTTCCCCCTTCAACACAGTCACCTAAAAGAGTGCATATGAATCTGGACTGCAGGTCAGTATCAGGTACAAACTTCCTTTACCAACCTTTAGATCTTTCGTTATTAATTGCAAAAATTTGTCTGAGATTTTTTTAACTTTCTTAAGCAGCCCAAAAATGAGCAAGGACCTCATCTCACATGTTGAGCTGAGGTTGTTTTGAATCCCGAGGCAGTAAGGATGTATGAATGGAGAGCTGAGGGTGTCATGGCTGGAGCAGTACTGCAGATATTCCCACTGGTTTCTCTCCTCTGTGTGTACTTTTTATGTGAAGGGTCCTAACTTTTTCATTCCTTAGTCCTTTCTGTGCAGTGTCCAGGGATTTGTCTATGGATACAAACATGCAGTTCTGATGCAAGTTATTTACAACCATGTACGAGCACAGGCGATGTGTACTTACAATTAACACAATTTGACACCTTGTCAAATTGTATGCACTGAGTCATAAGAAAATGACAAACTTTTGCCAGCGTTAATCTTCCTTCAGAGTCATGATACGGGGCAGAAGTCTAATAATAAAATATCCTTATTATGCAGAACTACTTACAGATATTAGCAGTGCCCTTAGGTATAGGCAGATAAGAACCAGGGCTCCACGGTCGGCCCTGGTAATTCTTCTTGCATTTTCCACAGTCTGGGCCAGTTGTGTTATGCTCACATTCACAAAGTAGCCTTTTGTTTTCTTCTTTACAGCCAGTAGCGTGAAGGTTGCACTTACACCTATTTGTAAAAGGCAAAAATAAAAAAAAAAGTGGGATATTATTTAGCGGTGAGTTTAAGTTCAGATTAAGCCTTAGTAAAGCATTTCCTATGTCAACCACTCTATTTCTGTGTGTTGTGCCTGTATTATTGGTTTAGCATGTTTTACAAGACATCACTCAAGTAGCATCTTGTAATATCTTCAGCACACACAGGTCTAAAAGCTGTAATTTCTCCAAGACTCCAAGATGCTGAATCTTTTCTTGTTTTCACTAACGCAGCTCCACTGAGAGCAACTAAATTATTCATAATTTTCACTACAGACAGGTCTATAATCTTGCAAAAATTCAAGAGTTACTCCTCACCGGAACAAAAAAAGTCCTCTGCTTATGTCCTTAGAGAATCTGGCCCAAATTAAGATCCAAATTAGGCCCTGGGAGTCTGAGAAAGCAGACTTCAATTAAATATCCTCTGCAATGCTAAGCTCCAGTAGAAGGGAAGCTCATTATAATGGTGTTTTGCCATTCTCGTTCAGCAAGTACGGTCTTGCTCAGAAAGGAAAACTTTTTGCCCACATTTATTTGATATCATTGTAGTAGCTGAAGCTCAGAGGAAATATTTTGGTAGGCACATTTAGTTTTACTTAGGAAAGAACACGTAATTGAACTTTGTGACAAAATTATTAGATAAACCAGATTCTGCATCTGGTCTTAGAACAACTGTATTTTCCTTAAATTCCCCTCTTTCTCTGAAACTAGGACACTTACAGAATGGGAAGCTAGTTTCATAAACAGTAAGGTATTGTCACCTCTTTCCATCCCTTTCCAATAGATGTCAAAAGCGGCTAAAATCTGTTTCTGTTTGGGGCTGGAGAGAAAACTAGTATTTAACGACCCTGCCTGTTTGTTTTCCTAATGATTGTACATCTAGTGAATTAAAGGGTTCTCATGTGGGCATTTGTCACCTGTTCCATACAGTGACCAATAATTAGAGCAAAACAGCACATGGGAGGGCCAAGCGCAAATTAACAGCTGTCAAGCTGACTTCCATTTGGAAGGAAAATGACCTGAAGCAACTGGCCACATACATATATATCCCCAGGGTAAAACAAGCTTGCAGTTGTCATAAGTGGCTGCTGGAGAAAATCCACAAGAATCCGTAATACAGTAGATAGTGGAGCATTCTCCTCAATGCTAGAAATGAGGCAGATGAAACTGCTGTTATTTGAGCAATGATCATCCTAAATAAAAACAGGTTCAGCGCCTTTTAAACTGAATTTACCAAAAGGTATTGAATATGCTCAAAAAAAGGAAGTATGGTTCGTTTTTATGAAATTTCCAAAATATCGATGCTTAAAGACTGCATCAATTGTAAAGTAAATTTTCAATGACTAGCCACTGCAGAATGAAAGACACCTGTCTGGGTGTCAGTGGATGAGATACGACTGTTCATGGAGAGACTGAAGATTTTGGTAAATGGCACTGCTACTAAGAAAAATAACAGGTGGTTTTACTGGCCACAGGAATACAAAAATGTAAGACTCTTGAACAGGAGAGATACGCAATAATGACAAGACCCAAAAATAGAGAAAGTCAGAGGAGAAAGAAGCAGGAGGGACTGTGGAGTCACTAGAATAAAGGAGAGAGGGGAACCGATTTGGTTTCTTTCAGGGGGAGATTTCTGTTTTATTGGAAGGACTCATCGTTGTCAGAGGGAGCAAACTGATTTAGGCAGGAAGAAAAAGCCACCTGATGCTGAGGAAAAAGCTGTAGTGCCTAGGGCTCTGAAAGGTTGCTGCAGACTGGTAGAGGAACTGAGGTGGGGGAAAAGAAATGTAGGTACATCTGCTAATTGGTGTAAATGTGCACAGCTCTTTTAATAAGCACCTGAACATAAAGAATGGTTGTGTCAGAAAACCTTGTGCAAAGTCTGTTTGCAGGTCTTAGATGCTATGCTTGCCATATGTTCCTGAAGAGATAGACTGACCCTTCCTCAGTTTTGCTTTCATGGTTAAAAGTCTTGGGTGGACTCTGGCCTTCTGCTTCTCCCTCTGCTTCTATCTGCTCCTGTCTCATTCCTCTTCATATACATACAAAACATACACATAATTTTATACGTATGGATGTGTATATGCATACACAAACAGTTCCCATAAATTCCCATGCATATTGATTTCCTTTTATTTCCCACATTCCCTAACTCCACTGACATCCACCTCTTCATACGTTGCCTCCTTGTTTTCCTTATTTCCCAGGCAATAGAGCATGGACAGCATGGAATAGTTCTGCTGCCTGTTCTGGTGCCCAGTTTTTTAATTTCTTAGGGCAAGATTGCTTCAGAGGAAGTGCTTCTCAACCCAGAGTCGTGGCATCGTGCCATGGTAGCTGTTCTGTGGTCCACTTGGCAGGGCCCATGCAGTCCAGCAATGGGCAGGGTTTCTGCAGAAGGCATCTCCTGCAATTCTAGCCACCAAGCTCCCACAGACAAAGGAACACTACATATTTTGGAGGTCTACATTTGTACCAAATATGGGCAGGTTTTCATAAAAACAGCAAACCTCGTTTTTTTTGTGGAAGTAGTTAGGGCCCTTCTATAAAATTTTAAAACCGTATTAACTGAGATTTATAACAATCAGCCCTCATATGGGTGTCCGGAACAAACACACACAAAACAGACAACGTAGAGACATCTTAGCCACTTAGCTTCTTAAATGGAGGAACTGGTAAATGGTTTTTCCTGCCCTAAACTGGCAGAATAATCACAGATTCATTCAATCAATGCTTCTCTGCAAATTAACTTATTTGGATGTTTTATATGTATTGTTGAAAACCTTTCCAGCAGATCCCCCAGAATGCTGCACTCTGCCTTAAAATTCCACATAATAACAAGTTTAAGAGAAAGGAGAGCAAGAGTTCTACTCCCCCCAACTGAAATAAAAAAACAAACAGCAAAAACCAAACAAGAAAAAAAACCTCAAACCAACCACCTCCTACCAAAAAGCAGCAATGGGGAGAGAGGTGTAGCCTTCTAGGAGTATGATTTAAAGTGAATGAGAAAAAACAACAAATCTGATCACTGAAAAAAAATAAAGGACTGACCTAAAACCTTTGTAGGCAGAGAATAAATAGTTAAAACCTAACATTAAAAACTGAGCAAAAAAAGAGCTGACAATGCCGAATAATCCTAAAAACTCTCAGAATAGTTCAAACTTAGCTGCGTACAATTTCCAAGGAGATGAAAGTAAGGAACAAATGTGGTCACTGTGGTTTTCTACAAGACTAGCTAAAGATCAAAGATCAAGGTAAAAAAATACATTTATATTAAAAATGTCAAAAGTAGAGTTAATGAGAGCTAGTTAAAGTGAGCATAAAAAGAAATGTTTTTTAAACAAAAACAACCCCAAGCCACGAAAGGTCAGACAATGTGTGGCAAAAAACATCACCTTTGCCTTCTTAGTGTACAGCAACATAAAAGTTGGGTTTGGTTTATGATCATTAGTGTTATACAAGTATGAAAAAATCTGTAGATTAATGAAATCCGAAGAGTTTAAACTGGAATTCTTCCTATCAGTAACTATACATAGGGAGTAAAACAGCAGAAGCATAAGCAGTAAAAAAATATTCAAAAGACCGAACCACAGAGGCTCTGATTCTCCTCTCAGTTGCACCAATTTTTTGCTGCGGTCACTTCACAGATCTCAGAGAGATTAAGCATGATTTCCACAGCAAATAAGGACGTAGCTGAATACTGAATGAGTGTAAAATGCAGGCAGTGTGAAAACTGAAAGAGAACAAAAAGCGTCTGTGGAAAGCAAACCGAACATAAGTTTGGAGGGTACTCTGTCTGGGTAAAAAGAAGCCAATACCAAAATCTGTGCTGTATGTGGGGAGACATTTTTACTGAAACATTTTTACTGAAACTTCTGATTTTTTAGGAAGGCTGCACTAGGAATTAGGCAATCTGTCCCAGGGACCTCATCAGAGTGTGTGTATGGACAATCTCAGAGACTTCAGCAAAGAAGAGGAATGCCTGTTGTGCTTGAGGGACAGACTTCTCTGGATGAATGAAAGAGGTAAATGTGCGTAGCGAGGCTGGGAGATGACTAGAGTACAATAAAAAGCTACTTCTATTTGTGGGATAAGCAGTAAGGAAAATTGAAATATTTAAGGTTACAGAAAGAAGACTATTTAGGTAAAAGTACGATCCAGACAGACCATGAGAGAACCACTCTTGCGATGAGATATACTGGATTGTGAGCAGTGTGAAAACAAAGCAGCAGAGCCTGGCCCTTAGGCATTTCGGATAACTCTGAATCAGCTGAGCACCACTGATCTGGTAGCTGACTTGGGATCCTATCAGATCGCTGTCAGGATGTGGACATCAGCTTCCTATGGAAGACTGCCCAAGTTCAGAGTCCTTCATCTGTCTCATCTGTTTTTTAAGGAAGATTACCTTTCTGTTCTGCTTCGGAGGGACAAAAATATTTTGTTACCTTATGTGAATACCCATGATGATAAATTATTACTCAAAATCCTAGGTACCATTTGTAAGTTCTTTAAATGCTTGCTTTGAAAGGCTTTTCTTAGCTGTTAGTGCTTTAAATCTGAGATAGTAACAACAGGCTTAATTAGATTTACATACAAAGCACATTAAACACAAAACCACAATACAAGAATGTGGTCACTTTGGCTGCATGGAGAAGTTCTGAAAACCTAAAAAAAATGCTTCTACATCCTGCGTACTGAGTGCCAGATGACAATATTTCGTGCCTATATAGTTTCTTGAAATCCAAAGAAAAAAGTCAAAGTGCTTTATGAGGTATTATGTACACATGCCCAGAAATGCAATTACTGGGTAGCAGTGGGTGGGTGGCAGCTGCTTGGCACGTCAAGCGGGTTTGCATGTGTACTGAGAAGGGATCATTGAGGGAGCTGTAATAAGTAGAGCAGGTTTGAGAATACAGGTGAAGGTATGGCAAATGTAAGGGGATGTATGCTGCAGCCTTTGCAGTGCACCAGGGA